GCAGGGTCCCTTCTTCTGGGCGACATAGAGATGTTGGCTGTATGATGCATGTGACAATTTAATAAAAAGTGCTTTACTTCTTGCACACATCATCGAGTGCTGGTGACTTCTATTATGACATAAGTATCAGACGCACAATTGAAAAAACAAAAAAATTACTGAGGAAGTTGCCATATCTCCCATAGGTGAAAAATCTGACCATTTCTTTTTCCGCAGAGAGAGAGAGAGATGTTTTTTAATATGCTCTCTTAACACTGTTTCTCCGAACAGTCCTAATAATGTGACCTTGCTTAAAAGTTTTCTTTGTACGAGATAATTTTCTCTTGACTTTAGAAATATTATCTTGCTTTAAGAAAGTACAAAGGTACAAAAGTCTGTGAGCACAGATTGAAGTTCTGTCAACAGGCAGTGTCCAAATGCTAGGTTGCTTACCTCTCCATAGAATGATGCAAATTGTGGGATAAGGTTGGGAGCAATTTGTGTGTCTGCACTTGGATAAAGGAAATGCTCTTAAAACATTAGATTCAGTGCTACACATGGATTTAATCGTAATTAAATGTTTCATTAAACCATTTAACCTTTTATCTGGAGTGCTGGCGACATTAATTTCAAGGTCATGATTTGAAGACGTTCCATCTGCCCCTTTTCACTGCAGATCCTAAATACTGAGCTTGAAGCCAAATGGAGTGTGATGTGGTTTATGAATTGGTCCCATATTGGTTAGAGTGACCGATCATCATAATGCATTTTCATGTGCCTAATTTTCATGTGTGCCTGCAGATTTAACGGATAGCTTTAATGTAAGCGCAAGATAGTTTTTTGTATTGTAATTATTTTGAAAAATTACCAACTGATACCCATTTAAAAATAAAGTCTAGTCCATATTTACTCACACATACTTTTTAAGTGCCTGTTGTAAATTCCCACCTGTTTTTAGTTTGTGAAATGCCATGGCAAGATCTATTACACTAAGCTGATTATTCAAGTACTTTTAGGAGTCTGGAGTGTTTGCTAATAGGATTTTCATGCACTCATTAAACATTTATGTGAGAGATTAAAAAAAGCTATGGTATTTAAATGGTGAAACTTGATGTATATACTGTGTCTGTTCAGATTTAGTTTTAATGTAGTGTTGTTGTGTAGGTCAGAGGTCTGACTTTATACTTTGTAAATATGCTTTTCTTTTATGCCTAAATTGTTCTCAGACAGAAGTATCATGAATGGTAGCCTGATTGATTTCTAAATTCTGGCTTTAAAGTCAATCTAAGCTCAGGAGTTAAATCTTAAAAATGCATTCAACTACCTTAAGTATTAACAATGCTGTATCTTATTTTTGTATCACTCAGCTGTAGATCCTCAAATTATCTCTGAATTTATGCTGACACTGTCCTTCCTTCTGGAGGGGCGCTACTTTCGTTCCCCGTGGTCCCTGTGTGTTGTAAAGTTGCCACCACTCCAAGCTCGCTCCTGTGATGGACTACAATCTCACGTTTAGTTTACTCATTTGTATTGAAATTATAGTCCATCATGGGAGTGAACTTGGAGCAGTGGCTACTTTATAACACACACAGGGACCATGGGAAACAAAAGTAGTCACCCTCCAGAAGGAAGGAATTTGTCTGCACCAATTCAAAGATGATTTGAGGATCTACAGCTGAGTGATACACAAATAAGCTATATTATTGTTAATAGTTAAGGTACTTGAAAGCATTTTCTAAAATTTAAGTCCTGAGTTTAGTGTCCCTTTAATAAGGTGAGTTAAAAAAAATAACAAAAGGGTTTTCCGTAAGAAATGCAACATGAAGGGGTCAGTCTCAGTCTCAGTCTTACGGCTTACATGTAACAAATGCCACTATTTACAGCAACATTATTAAGCATATACAGTTGTGCTCAAAAGTTTGCAAACCTTGGCAGAAATCGTGACATTTTGGCATTGATATTGAAAATATGACTGATCACACCAAAAAAAAGAGGGTGTGTTTGTTTGAAGGAGCGCTATGTGACGATACTTAAACAAAATTGATTTGTATGGTCGAGTTCCTATAAAGAAACCTTTACTGCACTAATTCCACAGAAAAAGCCCGGTTACAATATGCCCGACAACACCTTCACACGCCTTGTAGCTTCTGGCACACTGTAATTTGGAGTAACAAGACCAAAATAGAGCTTTATGGTCACAACCATAAGCACTATGTTTGGAGAGGGGTCAACAAGGCCTATAGCTACAAGAATACCATCCCCACTGTAAAGCATGATGGTGGCTCACTGATGTTGTGGGTGTCTGTGAGCTCTAAAGGCACGGGGAATCTTGTTAAAATTGATGGCAAGATGAATGCAGCATGTTATCAGAAAATACTGTCAATTTGCATTCTTCTGCGCACGGGACGCTATTGGACCTTCCAGTATAACAATGACCCTAAGTTCAAGGCCAAGTTGACCCTTCAGTGGTTAGAGCAGAAAAAGGTGAATGTTCTGGAGTGGCCATCACAGTCTCCTGACCTTAATATCATCGAGCCACTCTGGGGAGATCTCAAACGTACGGTCCATGCAAGAGGTACAAAGACTGTGCATGACCTAGAGGCATTTTACCAAGATGAATGGGCAACTATACCACCTACAAGAATTTGGGGCCCTTATAGACAACTATTACAAAAGACTGTGAAAAACAATATTGTGCCGAGCTAATAATCATACATATCTAATAAATTGAAACATATATAAATGAGTCACATATATGAGCCTTCAAACAAATGAGGCATAGAAAATATCTACACAAAGACAAAAAATCAATAAAGACAAAAAAAGTCCCAAGGAAAAAACAAAAGCAAACAATGGTGATTGTGCAAAAAAAAAATCCTCAGATGATTTGCAGCCAATCTGCATATAACTCTCAGGTAAGGATAATCACACAATGCAGGCAGACCTTCACCTCCACCAAGTGAGTGATGACATCAAGTGAGTGCTCACCTGGGGAGGTAGACCCACAGAGCTAGGTCAAATGCGCTTTTTCCCTTCTTAATGGGGGAGGGACGTCACATTACATCAAAACACGTGACTTCATCAGGGGTCTGGGACCAGACCCCTGATGAAGTCACATGTTTTGACGTAACGTATGGGGCCAGACCCCTGATGAAGTCATGTGTTTTGACGTAACGTACGTAGGGCAGAGCTTCTGATGTCACTGCACTGAGCTGAGCCGGACGAACAGGTTTTTTTATCGCTTTGCTGCCATTTGACCTGCTGGTCTGATCTAGCAATACCCAATGCCTGTACTGTTTACACCATTGAGTGAGTACGCATTTTTTATTTAATAAATTGCATTTTATTGGACGTTACGCACTATGTCCTTGTCCTTTTTCTTTTTCCACCTGGATTTATTCTGGTACCTGTGATCTGAGGAGACCTTATCGCCTTTTCTGTTTTATATACACACACACAAACAGTATATATACATAATCTCATTGGTGTTAATTTACTGAGGGAATTTTCCCTTAGCTTAGTGAATGAGATAAAGCACTGCTGACTTCATGCAATCATGTGCAAGCAAAAATACTGCATTTTTTAAAATTATTATCATTTTTCATGCATGTGATTGGGTATTCATTGTAAAGTGAATTTTTAACACATTCACTTAGCTCTGAGAAAAATTCCCTTGCAGTTATCCTATTTATTTTTAGTAAACCAACCCTTTGGTTGGGCAAATAGGCTGTTCACATTTGTAAGATAATTTGAACTTTGCAGTGGAAGTTTCCCTTTAGCTTGGGGAATGTGGTGAAATTTCACTTTGCAAAGAATACCACATCATGTGCAAGAGCAAAAAAATATTTTTGCTTGAACATGATTAAGTAATGGAAGGCAGCAGAGCTTCCCTGCATTCACTAACCTAAAGTCAAACTCCCATGAAAATTGCTAATTCCCTTGCACAGTAAACAGCCTATTTGCCTTTAGTAAATCAACCCCATTGTCTCTAGTTTTCCATGTTTCACACTTATCAATTTGTTTAATAATTCAGAGAGCAACATACAAAGTGCAAAAACTCAAAGCAACCAATCTGAATTTGCATTGCACTAATCTGACTGAAATAATGAAAAAATATATATCTGAATGGTTCCTATATTGAGTTACTATCTTCACATGTTCTTTGTACTGCATAAAAAAAAGGTTTGTCTTTTCTTGCTTGCACTGACCAGTTTTATTTTTACCTATGTTAGAAGAAAAAAACAAAACCTGTTGTGTTATCCATGCAGTTTTTTTTAAAGGCTGGCAATATTGTCACAGACCTGTATTTGTATGTCTGTGTTGCTACCATGTACCTTTCTCTCCATTTTCAGTTTTTACAAGTATTTGTGATACATTTATGCAATGTAATTTCATTCACGTCTCAAATGGCAAAGCTGGTTGATGGACAGGCTCTGACCCAAACAGTTCACGTTACACATTTCTTAATCGATGTGCTTTATCCTACAAAGTAAAATATACGTGCGCTGAACGTGTGGAAAAGAAGAGGTTTAAAGTTTTACTCCATCCTAATTCTGTTACGATTTGCTTTGTTCACCAATCACTCTGATCCTCCTAGCAGGGGGACAAGACCCGGAGAATAAAACTGTCTGAGACTATAGATAAAAAGGCAATGAATTTTGCTTTCAAGGCAAAAGACGGTGCAGTCTATAAAAGAATGAAAACAGGAATAAAAGTACAGTATCTTTAACCTGCAGATGCATTGTACCTTTGTAAAGTTCATACTGTATAACGAAAAAAGGAAATAACTATGATGTTCCAAAGGCTTTGTAATTGTATGACACCAGACTTTGAAAAAGGTCAGTGCTTAGAGACTGTCCAAAAAATTGACAAGAAAATAGATCAATTTATTCAGAAGAGGTAGAGTAGAGTTCTCATTGTTTTTACGATGACATGACAAACTTGTCATTGTGGCTTCTGAGGGATGTGACTTTTTATTTTCCTATTGTATGTAATTTGTGTTCCCTTTATTTTTGTTACAGTGTTGCTCTTAAGACTTGGCCAAGAAGAAAATGTCAGAAGCAGCACTCCAAAGAAAAATATAGCGGATACTGTACCATACACATTGCAGAAGGTACTTTTATCTTGCATAAACTTAAAGCAAACGCCCAGATTTCATTGCTCTGCAGAAAGCTTTAACCCCTTCATGACTGAGGCCCTTTTTTCATTTTTTGCACCCATGTTATATTCCACATTTTAGGCCTGAAAATGACGTAAAACCCCCCAACATTATATATTTTCTGAATGCCAAGACCCTATAGAATATAATTGTTTGTGTTTTCTAATATTTTTTTGTTTTTTTATTTAAACTAAATAAACGTGTGATCTATCTTTTTGCCCTGGCAATCCGCAACATTGGAGCCTTCATTCAAATGGTATACCTGTGACATGGACCTCTAACCTCAATTTTAATTTCGAGTTCTTCCCCCACATGCTGTGGTAGGTGTGGCTGGTTTCTTAAGTAAACCTGGCCTTAACTATAATAGGACAGTTAGCCTTTGAGGAGGGATCTGTCTGCTGATAGACCTATTGTATATATTGCAAGACTAGAAGTCAGATGATTTTATACAAGCCACATAGCTTAACTTCTCATATCCATATAAACTATTGCAAAAGGTTGCATTAGCCGATGTAATATACTTTTTCAACTACACAGGATAATTTGGAGTGATGCAGGCCATGATAGATGAACGTAGAAATTGGCAGAAAGATGCAGTGACACTGCTGAGTTACAGGCAGTGGTCGACTTCCATACTTGCCATGTTAACAAAGAAATGGAACAAAAGAGTTCAAGGGGGATAGGGGGATCATGTGGTGTTCTCATTTTATAAGCAACATGTTCCACAAAACTGATCCTACAGTTTTGTTTCGCAAGTGATACCATAGCCATTTTTCAGAGGTCCTCTATCTATCTATCTATCTATCTATCTATCTATCTATCTATCTATCTATCTATCTATCATTTTAGGTCTTTGTTGTAAAAGCACTCAAAAATATCTGTTCCGCTATCCCTGGACATACCGTACATACATTACATGTATTTTGGCATACAGTTTATCTATCAGTGGTAGATCTTTTTCTGCTCTTTCTCAGCTCTTAAGAAGTTTTTTTTTTTTTTATCAGAATAGATTGCAAAGAAAACCGTAAGTTATTTCACACTAAACATGGGCAGTAATTACATTTCTAGAGACCTGTGCAGTGCCTTCCGTTTATTTACAGATAATGTCGTGGAAAAAGTACAGCAATTTAGAGCAAATGATTTGATTGCTTGTACTCCTAACAAATGCCATATGGCCAGGTAATCAATGCTGTCATCTTGTTATTATGGAATGACAAACATCATGTTAGCATAATAACATACTGAACAGGAAATGCTCACTTTCATTTATGTTAAGGTGGAGTGAGTAATTGGAATTATCTGAGTGCGCCAGTTTGGAATGTCACTTGGTTTGTTCTAAGTTATCATCTTTATATCCTAACCCTAATTTTATCTGCCAGGTATAAATTTCCATCTCTGCAGATATACAGTGATACATTGCTAAGAACGAGCCTAAGCCCAGAAGGCATGTTCTATTTCCTTTTAATCATCTTGACTAACTTGCAGTGTATTACATTATGCACATAGATAAGGAAAACATTCATTCAAATTTAAAATACCAATAGCTTAAGGGAACAACACTGTGCACAAATGATTCTGTTAGTTTTGAAAGATATGCTGTCACATGATTTCAAGGGAAATTAAATATCAGAATATATTTTAGGGGCACTATGCTTCTTTTGTAACATCTAAATTTCCAGTCTTCACTCCACAAAACAAGATCTTATTCTTATGTTAGTTTCTTATGCTGCATTTTTCACTTTAGAATCAGATGTGTGTATTAAGTCATTTTGCAGTGCAACTTCGTACAATTTACTCAAGTGCAAAAGTGCTGCTTTTGATGTTGATGTTTGAGATGTTGTCACCAGCTCAAAAAATGCAGGTAGAAACACAGAAAAACATGTATTTAAAATGCTTATTTGCAGTGTTTTTCCATTGCATAAATGATTTTTCATTCACTTGCAATATGCACCTATACTTACTAAATTCTGCTCTAGGGCAGACTCCGTACCCTAACACAGCTCTCTCGCACATTATAGCCCTCTCCTCTTTTGGGAGTGTCTAATTACTCTGTGCTGGGTCAGCTCCTCCACCCCTCCCTTAAAGGTGGGGCCTTTATGGATTGAACTTGTTTTTCCTGCACATCCCACAGATGCTCAATTGGATTGAGAGCTGGAGAATTTGGAGGCCAAGTCAACACCTCAAACTTGTTGTTGTGTTCCTCAAACCATTCTTGAACCATGCTTTCAGTGTGACAGGGTGCATTATCCTGCTGAAAGAGACCACTGCCATCAAGGAACATGGTTTCCATGAAGGGGTGTACTTGGTCAGCAACAATGGTTAGGTAGGTGATACCTGTCAAAGTAACATCCTTATGGATGGCAGAACCCAAGGTTTCCCAGCAGAACATTGCCCAAAGCATCACACTGCCTCTGCCAGCTCGCCTTCTTCCCAAAGTGCATCCTGGTGCCATCTCATCCCCAGGTAAACGATACACACACGTGATCATCCACATGACGTAAAAGAAAAGGTGATTCATCAGACCAGCCCACCTTCTTCCATTGCTCTGTGGTTGAGTTCTGATGCTCACTGTAGGTGCTTTTGGCGCTGGACAGGGATCAACATGGGCACCCTGACCGGTCTGCAGCTACACAACCCCATACTCAACAAACTGCAATGTACTGTGTGTTCAGACACCTCTCTATCGGTACCAGTGTTAACTTTTTCAGCCTTTGCTCCCCATGTACATCAGTGAGCCTTGACCGCCCATGACCCTGTTGCTGGTTCACCTGTTTCCATCCTTAGACCACTTTAGGTAGGTCCTGACCACTGTAGACTGGGAACATCCCGCAAAAGCTGCAGTTTTGGAGTTGCTCTGATGCAGTCATCTAGCCATCACAATTTGGCCCTTGTAAAAGTCGCTCTTCTGCTTTCAATACATCAACTTCAGAGACAAAATGTTCACTTGCTGCCTAATATATCCCACCCACTTACAGGTGCCATTGTAATGACATATTCCATTTTATTCACTTCACCTCTTAATGGTCATAATGTTATGGTTGATTAGTGTATAATCTAATGGGAAGTTTGATTCTGAAATAAATAGTCTGGTGACAGGGTCTCTTAACAGCATACAACAAACGTTGGCTGCTACTACTTAATATAATTGGACAATGGAATAGTAGAATTTTATATTCCAAAAACCAGGTAGTAGTTACAGATTTAGGATTAATTTAGGATTCATTTTACAGTTGCCAGTTTCTCCCTAGTTTGTGTTTGTAAAAAGCCTGTATACAGTGTGCCGTAGTTCTAGGTAAAATTTATAAAAATAAATAAGTTAGGAACACGCACTCAACTGCAAAGGTTGAGAAGGGAAACAACCATGGATTACACTAAGGCACACATTACAGTATTGGTTTATGTTACAAAAATCTGAGGGTTTAATGTCACTTTAACACTGCTGAAATTTCATTCAGAGGCAGCTTTTGATGTACTTTCTCTCTAGAAAACTTTTAGGAGCCAATTTGTAAATCTTCCGCCAGTTGTACACTGGGGCAAATGCCACTTGCATGTCATTTCTGCCACTAGAAGGAGCTGAGTAGCATAGGAATATTTTACAAATTTTACAAATCGGTCTCTTCTATTATGTAAAATGTTTATTTGCAAAACAAATATTGTAAAAAAAAATTAAAAAACTATTAAATTGTTAACTTAAAACAGAATGTATTTTAACCACTTCAAGACCAGATGTTTAGACCCCCTTCCTGGCCAGGCCATTTTTCAGTGTTCAGCGCTGCAGTACTTTGACTGAAGTTTATTCCGTCATGCAACGCTGTACTGAAATTAATTTTATACCATTTTTCCCACCTAGGGAGCGTGTCTGAGCGGACGTCTAAAGACGCCAGCTCAGATCTAGAGAGCTCCGGGCCAGCCCTTTTTTTTACTACGGCCGGCCCGGTAGTGGTTAAATCTCACTGCTTTTCAGGTTTTTTAAAATATATCAAATATTTTTAAAGCAAAGTAAATTAGTAAATGTGTCCTTTGCCTCCTTCAGTAGTTATCCCTACAGTATTACAGTGTACTACTTTGTACTGCAAGGGTCAAGTGCTCTTTTTCCTCTAGTGTGTAAAATACAAAGGTATATTCTCCCGAACCTCACAGTTGGTTGGCTGTTAGAGCACTCCCACCAGCCTCTCTCCTCCACTGCAGCGTTAGTATGTGCCTTGGTGTACTCACGTCCAATACACAGTGTATTAGACATGAAGATTCACAGGACCTTAGATCTCTGGAGCGGAGGGGGGCGGGGAGGGAAGCTCCAGGGAAGAGTCTAACAGCCAGCTGGCTGCAAGGTTAACCACTTAAAGGAGAACTATGGGGTCAGGGCCTTTCCCCATAGTTCTCCTTAGGGTAACGGGAGGACACAAATTAGCGCCCTCCCGTTACCCTAAGCTCAGTATACCGCGAGCTACAACATTTATTATTACCCATTTTTTTGGTAAAAACTAAAAAATGGGGTCACAGCGGGTAAATAGACGCCAAATATGTAAAGGATTAAAGTTGCCCGTGAAACCACACTAAACTACAATACCCAAAATTGACCATATGCGACACTTTAAAAGCTTTTATCGCTCATCAGTTTAGTGTTATCAGTGAATAACGGCCCTAAAATTATTGCTTGCACTCCGACATTCGTGGTCATATGTAACATGGGCAGCGCAATTTTTGTTTCCGCGCGTTGGCACATCCATTTACGTTTATAAGTGTGTATACGTGGTGGTGGGGGACTTAAAAATTTGTGGGGTTTAAATTTTTTTTTTTTATATGTGACTTTAATTTATTTTATTTTGTTTACACTTAATGTTATTGCTATCACATAGGGGTCTAACAATCCCCCATGTGACAGCTGAATGCGGAAGTGATGTAATACACATAATTTCTGCATTCAGGCATCGGAGAGGAGATCAGCAAGGAGGAAGATGCTGAGCTCCCTCCCATCCTCCTGCTGACACCCGCCTGAATCGGTCCTGGGCTCGCAGAGGGGACAGCGGAGCCCAGGATGGAAGGTAAGGGCAGGGAGGGAGCACAGAGCAGGGTAGCACATACAAGCGATCGGACGGCTATAGAGCCGCCGATCGCTTGTATGTGTAACAGCTGTTACCGGCTGTTTTACATTTTGCCGTTTACACTGTGCGGGCGTGCGCAAGCAGAATAAAAAATGCCCCACTGATAGGAGCTTGCCGTCCGTCTGTGTTTTTTTTTTACAACAAGCGGACGGGGAGTGGTTAAGGTGAGTATCATTTTGTTTTGTTTTTTACCCTAAACGAAAAAGAGCACTGAACCCTTGCAGTACGGAGGTTGCCCCACTACAAGGGTTAAGAATATTTTTTTTCCCGTTGTCCTTCTTTAATGCTGCTTGTTGACACTGGTAGATCTGTGTGTGGGACTGTTAGACTATTGCTATATGAACTGTTAGTATTGTTGTTACAATACTTCCTATTAGAAATTAGTTTTGTATAGTTGTATATATTTTAGATGTATCCCCACTACAAGGGTTAATAATAATTGTTCCCGGAGTTCTTCTTTAAATGCTGCTGATCTGACTTTTTCAATGCTATATTCTACTACCAATAATATTTCCCAGTGTCTACATTTTTCCTACCTTTAGTCCTGGGAGTTTAACAGCAGAAAGATCTTGCTTATCATGATATCTTTTGCACACCAACAGTAAATCATTATTTTTGTTTGATGAATGACTTTTATAGCCTTAGAATGCCTTACACCTAACAGAAGTAGATGCCATCAAAGAAATCCAAATAGAGAGCTCATGTGATATCAACATCGATAGGAGGTCCCCGTGGTGTAATGAGTGCACCATATACATCTTGCATTGCATCTATATCAATTTTTATAAAGACAGAGATTACCAGCACAACCATACATGCTTATAAAAGCTGACTTTTGAGGCATACAATGCTTACTGATTTCAGAAGTACTTGTCTTTCATCATAACATGTGACACAGGTTACTCAAACACACATTAGTACTGTATGGTGCATCTGTCAAAATGCCTTTTGTATGATGATATCGGGATGTACTGGTAATCCCCATCTTTTTTTGAGGTGAACAGCATCAAGATTGGAGATTAAACTAAAGTGTGTTAAGACAAAAACTTTTTTTTTCTAGTTTTGGACAAAGTAGGAAATGCTAAAGATCCCTGTCAGTTTCCATTGGGGAAACTGACATTGGGTAGATTTTTCTTGCCTTTTTGTCTAGAGCAACAACAAAAAGTAATAGGAGATCTCTCCAAAGTGTCACCAGAACAGCTTTACCCATTAAAAGATTTCCCCTCATCTTTCTGTTCCTGTGATCACTCAAAAATCCTAGATTTCTCATCACCTTATGTACCGTGGACAGTGGCCATCGGGATAAAGAACAATTGTAAATCCTATTTAGTGAAAAAAGATGGAAGTTCAAACCCTTCACATTCTATTTTAAAACTAAAACCATAGGATAAAAGGGTATGAACCTTTTTTTTTTCTCTATTTTGTTTTCATGCTTATCTACAGCAAGGATATCGGTACAATTTGTGGAAAAAAACATGCTACTAAAAGCTCATTTAAATATATTTAAACAGTGTTCTGCATAATTGCATATGTTTAGATCAAAATTATACTCGACACCCGACGCTAGTGGCAGCTGATGGATCAACTTTCTCACAGAGAATAACGATCTTCACAAAGTGTGCTGCTCCTTCACAAGGACTGGGGAACCTTCACTATGAAGCTCTAGTGAAACTCTGGCGTTTTAACCCAAAAGTCATTTGATTTGTTTACTAATTACATTATGGTTTTAGCAGGAGAATAATCGGCTATTTGTAAACTAGGTGGCCGTGTCGTGTTCTTATAATATAATATTAGGGGGCTGAACCATCATTACTAATATTATTAATGATTTTTCTTGGTGTTCCAGTGCGGGGATTTGTCTGTGCTGTGTCATTTATTACCCAGCTACAATGAACTCCACTATCTATAAACATAGCCGGTCTCTATGACAATCCGTGGAGGCCTTTTGATTGGCTTCTGATAAAACAATCTTGCACATGTCGGGGCGCACTGTGCTTTTGTTTTTAGAATTGCATGTTTGCTCACAATGCTTCCATTTGAGTGAAATTACATTTGTGAAATGTTATTTTTCATCTTGTTCGTACTAGATAAGCTATCTGGAAAAGAGGCTGGTTGAGCTAGAAGCAGACTCAAACAGAGTAAAGGAAACTAAAGATGAGTTAAAAAAGCAAAATAACTCTCTGAAGACATCCATCAAGCTTCTTCACAAAGATGTAGATTTAAGAGAGGAAAAAATTGAAAAAATGCATAAGGAAATTTTAGAGGTAAACCAGGCCAAAGAGTCCCTAGAAAAGAAGAAGGAAGAACTAAACAGAGAAGTTGCCTCCCTAAAAAGACTCTTGGTAAACAGTGACAAATTGAAGAATGAAAATCGTGACTTGCTGAGACAGGTTCATGCCCTGCAATATACACTGCACAAGACCACAGCACCAGTCCCGCTTTCCTCAATGAAATTACACAAGCAAGGCCACAGGAAGGAAGCCGTAAGCAAGGTTAAACAAAATTCAGCTAGGAAGATCTCCCTGAGACGTCACCAAGCTTTTCTTAATCAATCCATCAAGGTTATGAGCAACGTGTTTGAGAACTTCAGCAAAGACGGCTGGGAGGATGTGTGTGAAGACAGGTACAGCTCTCATTAAGTCTGCTCTGTGGAGGGGACATTGTGCATATGCAAAGCACAGGCAAATGGAGACTGAATTTCAACTACTGTTGATTTGGTATTCAGGAAAAAAAACGTTGTCAGATCCTTTGAAATATCTTGGGAGGTCTTGTTCTGAGCTTATTGACTGAAATTTGCATGCAAAATTAGCCACAACTGTACGAGCAGTTGAATAGGTGCCAGGAAACCCAAAAGAAGGCAATGCTTGATTTCTTCCAGTGATGCTATTTTCATGCAGTCATGAGGCTTGACATTGACAGTTTGGCAGGTTGATTTAATTTGCTGGCCCTTTGCATATTCACCACTGACAGCTAAGGATTCCCAGGCAAGCCTACTAAGTCCATTTAGTTATCTTGTGACATGTCGTATTTCAGCTTGCTACCAGATGTCTACAAGCTGTTTAACATCCTTTAAATTAAGACCCATCCACACTAATTATTTCATGTATGTGTTATGCATAGTCATTGTAAAAAATTTAATTGAACGCTGCATAACAAAAATCTTATTCTTGCTCTAAATGCTGTAGTCTCTTTGAGTTGTTTCTTTTGTAAGTTATTATTATTTTAATTCTCTCTCTCGGAAAAAAAAAAAAATTGCATTTTGTGACAAAGTGTTAGCAAAACAATCAAAATTTTAGGATTATTACCTGCATTTAGATGGATGCAATTAGAAAATGCCTGGTTCCAACTTCGATGCCTGACAATTCAATAAGAAATCTGGCTTCTTTAGGATGCAAACTAATTGATCAAGTCTAATTTAATGGAGTCTACTGGTGTGTTGCCTTTTGAAAACAAACTGCCGTTTTTAATTTATAGATGACCACAGAGTGACCATACAATCAGAAACAGACCAGGTTTGCAGATTGAGATGAAAATGTTATTTGACAGCTGTTATATAAATCGTTTTTAGACATTTCCTCTCATCTTTTCTTCTGAGGACAACTGTCAGATTTTGTATTTCCCATCTCTTTTCTTCCAAGTGACTAGGACATGATATGAGGGGATATCTCACCAGTGAGGACTAAGACGAGAATAAAAACTTGACAGAGGTTCAATACCTTCTTTGCTCTATCCAAAACTTTTGGTCTACTTTGAATTCATTATTTATAGCAGTTTAAGATAGGAATGAAAATAGGATGAAATGATAGAAACTAATGTTAAATAACTTGATAAATAAATACATTGACAGAATGAAACCCAGGAGTAATAACACCTACCAACTTTTGATTTAAGCAGAAGTAAATTATTAAAGTGGACCTACTATAAAAATTCACATTTCACATGGATCATAAGGATAAATGTTAGAATTACAAAACCATATTTTTAGTACTGCTGCTTTCCAGCCTAGGCAGCCTAGATTTCATACTCTCTGGCAACCAATGATTAGAAACTATGTCGAGATAAGAGGACCTGAAAGGACCACAAAGAATCAGAGCCTGTTTATTAAGTATACTAATATCGCCAGCCCATACATAATTAAACACTATACATTAAAAAAAGTTTTTAACGCATTAACACAATTTGATAAAACAAAATTTCTTCTGCATGTTGTAGATTCCTATACTTGTTCTATTATATGTGTGCCATTGGTTTCAAACAACTTTATTATCTGGCTTAAATTTGACAGTTAAAAAAAAAAAAATCTGTTTTTTTTCTTTTTTTCATTTTTTTTTTTTACAGCGATATTGAAAGTGAATCGTCTGAGAGCCTGGGACATGTAATCGTGCACATTAGTGGTACAACGGCAGATGAAACCAGCACTGTGGAAGACAGTAACAGTGGTGAAGTTCTTCAAGATAATTGCAAGAGCACAGTCAGGGGTAAAACATATATGTGTAGGGTAGGTGCTATTTTTCTACTTTGTGTATGAGTGAGGATGTTCCAAGGAAAACAGCTACATGTTGTTCTCGCCTTTTGGAAAACAAAAGCCAAGCAAGGTGCCTTCCCTTGCCAGAGTAGAGATGCTCTGAGGAAGGGGGTGTGGCCCCGGAAACACGTCAGCATCCAGCAGTGGGGTTTGAAGAGGCCAGATTCTGTCATCATCCCTGCGTGATCGCTCATGTCCCACGTTGAGAATATGGCTGTTGTTGCTGCAGTGTGCGGTTGACAAGGTTCTATGGACATCCTCCTTTGCGAGTACAATTGATGGTTTTATATATGTTCTATAAATAAAGGTTTTACACTAGGGAAGGTGCCTTTTTTGGCTTTTGTTTTCTATAGGTGTATTTGGCCCCCCTAACTGAAGAGGGGCTGCCTCCAGTAGTTGTGCCTATACAAGTGTTTCTGGGCTATGAATCAGGTCTTGTGGATTGTTTGAATATGTTCTCACCTTTGCTTACATGCTTATTGTATCTATTAATTTAAACAAGACAAACTGTTATTTCTCAGTTTTATGGGTTATGTAAAATAGAGTGTCATTAGTGCTTGACATCATCTGTAAATTATTTTGTAACATTTCATTATATGTATGTATGGATTGGGGGAGATTGAAAGACCCATTTGTTTCTTTTTATACTGTCATATATTGTTTATGGTCCCAAAGGATCCAAATCATTTTATGGATTATTTGGGCTGACAAAGTTAAAGAGGAACTTCACCACCCCCCCCCCAACTCCGACCTGCTCCCCTTAATTTAATTTTTTTAGTCTCCTATTTTTTTTAAATAAATTCTTTATTTATAGTTTTTACGAAATTTGCAACAAAACAGTAAGAAAATAGCATTAGCACAAAGTGTACTCTAAAATCAGTCAAGTAAATCCACCACGCGATCCAGGTATCCTAGGGTACGCATCTCTTAGTACAACCATAATCAGGCTCAGACATCAGCCTGTACGATTTATCTGTGATAATTCAGCTTTACACTTTTAGCGTTAAACGGATACCATATGCATGTTAACGAGTAAGTGGGGTGGATAGAGGTGAAAAGGTAAGGATAGGGGGAGAAGAAGAGAGAAGACCAGGAAGAAAGACAGACGAAAAGTAGTATAGGAGGGGAAACAGACGTTTTCTCCCGCGTCTCTACCGGATTCTGATCACATCACCGCGGTTCCTGACACGCGCCTACGTATCTCCCATCCACTAGCTTTACTGCCAGCGGATGAGGTCCCATATGTCCACATCTCCGCCCCAGATAGGCCAGTCGCCCTCCATGACAGTCTTTACGTCTCCCCTAACAGGGTAGCATATTCCTGGGTAGTAGTGAAATCCATCCAGTAAAACCAGGTTCAATTAAACTGTGTCTCTCTGTGGCTAGCTGAGGCCAGGAGATCCTCCATTCTGTAGATCTCTCCAACCCTCGCCAGCCACAGTGAGATTGGTGGTGCCACCGTGCGCTTCCAGTAAAGGGGGATACATGCCTTCGCCGCACTGAGTAAGTGCACCAAGAGGGACCTCCTATAGCGGCGTAAGGGCATGGGTGCCAGGTGTAGGAGATATTCAGCTGGGTCGGACCCCAAAACAACCCCTGTCAATGTGTTGCATACCTCTGCCACCTTATCCCAGAAAACCCTCAGCAGAGGGCAGGACCAGAACACATGTAATATCGTACCTTCTTGCGCCTGGCAACGCCAGCAGAGTGGTGAGCACTGTGGGAACATTCTATGCAAGGTCGTCGGGACTCTATACCATCTGGATAGAATTTTGAACCCCGTTTCTTGGACACTGCTGGATATAGAGGCCTTATGTGTCATCTGAAATATCCTATCAACTTGGGGCGGAGTAAAGGTGATTCCCAAATCACGTTCCCACTTAGAGATATACACCGGGAGGGGTAGATCGGGCGGGTCACTCAGTAACTTGTAGGCTTCTGACAGGCCATGACCGGTAGGACCCTCTCGCAAACAGATTTCCTCGAAAGGGGTCAGGGGAGGCAGCTCCCGTGGGTTTCTAACCAATTGGGTGAGAAAATGGCGCACCTGAAGTGCTTTCCAAAAGGTCATGGGAGGATCCGAGCATGCTTGAATATCTTTAATAGGCAATAGATCCGAACCGGCACGGAAATGGTAAAGCCTGAATCTGCCTGTATTACTCGGTCAATCTCCCTGTCATAGGGTGAGACGGGCAGGTCTGGGTGTCCCAACACTGGGGTCATCAGGGAAGGATACCTATCTGTCCTACAGCACGTCTTATCTGCTTTACAGACCGTTTTAGTCTCCTATTACCTTGTCTGCATTGTCTGGTGTAACCCGCTGCTGCATGCCGGGTCCCAAAGCTTTCATCTTCCTTTGTGACATCAGGATCCAGCTGCCTCTTCCAGGTTTATGCAGCCAGCCCCCTGATGATGTGCTGTTGTACATGCACAAAGTGTGGTAGATGGTCCCAGGCACATCATTCTCATCTAGGTGGTAAAACCAGGAAGTGGTGGGGCCACCTCAAAAAATGTATTTGCATAAACAAAAGAAAAAACAAAACTATTCTGAAAGGTGGGAAGAGGAGTGATTAAATATAAAGTTAAAGAAGGGGGGTGAAGTTCTGCTTTAAAGTTAATGTGTAATAAAAGGAAACATAGTCATGTTGCCATTGCTGAAAATGTAAGTTGCCCAAGCTCCTAATCTGCATGCTTGTTCTGGACCAGTTACTTCGAAAACATTAAGGCCTGGTTCATACCTGGGCGTTTTGTAGCGTGTTCAAACGCTCAACACCGAAATCCCATTGTTTCCTATGGGTATGGTTCACACCTTGGCGTATTTCAGCCCGTCTGAACGCGCTACAAAACGGCCTACGCCCAAAGAAGTACAGGAGCTTCTTTGGGGCGTTTTTGTTGCGTGTATCCATTGGGATACAGCCAGGTAGCCCTCGGAAACGCGCGTTTGTCGTGCATTTTTTTACAGCGAATCGATACGCATATTCGATACGCCTAGGTGTGAACCCAGCCTTACCTTAGCATAAGTGCCAGGCAGCTAGAATTGTTTTCCTTTATGGAGGTCAACTAAGGTCTTCTGTCCTCGCTGCACATTACCCTGTGGCCTGTGTATAGCTCGACATACAGCTAAACCCTCCTATTCTGCAATAACGAAACGGTGTGGGTGAAACTGTAAAAAAAAAAAAAAACACATGAAAATATCCAATCAATACATGAACATGTAAACAAAGTGATAGTTTACAAATATAAAGAGAAACAAGTTTGCCCCTACCAGTTTGCTCAATAGTAAATAGAGATTTATGCTCTACAGCACCTTCCTATGGCTGAATTTGAGGTGGCAGGTAGGTAAGTCAATAAATCTCGGCCTATGGGGCCAGAACAGAAGGCGCATAAGGTAACATCTGGCTGACCTTCATGGAATTCTTTTTGACCACTGTTTTATGAAGATCTAATAACTCAAGAATGTGCTTCCCAAACTTTTCACTTGCTACTGTTAATGCCATCGCCCAGTCTGACCAAGCAAACCCCAGTCTACTCATCTATGCTCGGATCTGAGCCATGCTGTGTTCTTTTTACCCGAAACAATGGTCTGCATATAATGCATCTTCTAAACAAATCCACTTTATGATGTATGTAATAGACCCAACAGGTGTATTTCCAATTAACAATTGCAAACATTTGCACACATGTTGATTTAAATAGGCATATTAGTTTATCAAAACAGATTTCTTGTCTCCTTAGCTCACTTTGAAGTTCATAATTTTCTTTTATTGAGCATTTTTCCTTTCAGCATATTAGACTGCTAACCAAATCCTATTATCTTAGTATATTTTATCATAGTTAAATTCAGCATTCACATGAAAGATGTTTTTCATAATTGGTGCACATTTAGAGACTCTGCTTTAATCCCAGTGTTTTCATCATAACAGACATTTCTGAGTATTTCTGAGATGCTTATTATTATTTTATGCACACAACAGCAATACTTATCTGTGTGGCATTTGCACAGGAGCTCCTAAATTAAATGAAATGCCCTTGTGATGATAAATTCAATAGCTTTATTCATGATCTGCTATGGTTAGTTTATTTCTAACTGGATCTGTATTACTATTCTGAATTACCACATCAGATTCATATAATTGGTTACTGGAAGTATATTTAATTTAAATTTATATGTTCCCCCCAATTTCATTTTCTGCTAATGTCAAACCAGTCATTTTGTTTTGGATTTAAACTAGACCACTGTTACAGTTCCTTTGCTAAAAAAAAACCTTGTATCACTTCATACTTGGCACACTTTTTATTGCATGAAGGATATAATTAAAAGTAAAAAGTAACATGGTGTTTCCTGGGGTTCATGATGTCTAACCCTAGCTTATTTCATATTTAAACAGCTTGCGTACAAATTAAGTTTTGAATAAGCATATTAGCCTGCACTAGTTGTGAAGGTATTGACCATTGATAAAAGAATCATGTTTGACTCTTGGATGGGTAGTAACATCCCCAAAGTGGGGAATACTTTAACCAGTTAAGTACCTAAGTTGTACCTTTCGCGCCCTTGAGTATTACCCTTCTCCACTCACACCCATGTTGTAGCTGTCAATGCCTGCTATCAGTTTGACAACTGAGCTCCTGCAATGTGACTGATAGCTGCTCTCAGCAGCAAATTTAGCAGTTATGGACAATAACAGCTGTCCCATGCAGTGCTAGCTAAAATGTCAACTTACACTAATAGAATGTTTCAGTCTGCGGCTGTCAGAGAAACGAAATGCAGCTGATCTGCACTGTTTTACACAGGAGTTGCAGAAGAAACCCTGTGGAGCCACACGGCACCTGTGCAGTCTTCCTCTGGGTTCTACTACTCTTTATGCACCCATCATTTTCCTCTCCTGGCATGCACTGAACTGGTCACACACACTGCTACCAACTGTTTCTATGATTCTGCAATGAGTCAAGATC